GACCCTTGATGCCAAGTTTTGGAAAACAAGCAGGAAGTGACAATGAACAAGGGGTTATTGGTCTTCAAAGTATCTCAGAACATTTGAAAAAAGTATTCCAAATAAATAGGTGCTTTCCTCCCATAATTTCAGGACTTTCAAATCTTTGGAATAAAATAAAGTACCCAATTTTTATTTGATTGAAGTTTTTGGACTTACATTGCGGTTTCCAAATTTAAAGTTAATGTCCATTCTCAAGATTGCCAAATTAAGATTTCCATGCATAGTCATTAAAATCGGTCCTTTTTTTTCCCAATATGATTTATGTGTGATACATTCTTGTTTAAGAGCCTGTATTTCCCTTAAAAAGAACAACATAAATGAAGAGCTTATATTTATGGAACTCTATTTTGGATCAAACCCTAAATTTAGACCTTGTATATATTACACATTAATTGATATACATCATCTCATTTGATATTAGCAATAACTCATTGGGGAAAGATTTTTTTATTATCTTCATTTTATGGATGAGGTAACTTAGTAAAGTGTGGCAGAGATAAATAGATAACTCAAATGGTAGTTACTTACTCCAGTAGCCTACTACTATACTTTGCTACATGCATAGCTTCACACATAATGTCCAAAATTGAACTCTGTTGGTTTTGGTACACGTAAGAACAGTGAGGAGGTATCTAGGAACTTGATTGCTCAAGAGAAACTAATGAAACATGTTAAAATACTAAACTCTTAAGAATTCTTTATTGTCCAGTGGCTTTTGTATAGTGAGAGGAATACTTTGTGCTTGTTACTGCTCAATTTTATTAAATTCAAATAACTCAGAAATAAAACTTTAACAACTAATTTTATTGGCTATCTAAACATTAGTTACCAGTTTGGTGAATTAAATTCCTTAAAAGTTTTAAACTGTAATTATAAATTTAATGTGACTTTTTTGGGAACAGGTCAAATAGCATATCATATGAAATCTACACAAACATATAATTAAAAATACATCTGTACGCTCAACTTTTAAGTCTATTATAAAATATGAAAACCATGGGGATAATTTATTTCCTTTTTATTCTGCCTTTGCATTTTCCTTCTTAGTTTAATGTTATACTTAATTTATTTTGACATTTAAAGTTTTCATTAACTTTACTGTTATGTTTTCCCAGGATTTCAGTAACCTTATCTGAGAGGAAAAGAGGAATACTATCTCTGACACACCAAGGTAATAGAATACAGGTTATCAACTAATTGATTTTTAGGAGGCCATATGATATACCGGGTGGTAAAGTGATTTAACTACAAGGCGTTGGTTGCAATCCTTGCAATAGAATGTTTTGTTATCTCATGTTACTTTTAATTTTCTGTTTACCACACAATTATTCTTTTTGGTAACTTGTCTTTAGCAAAATATAAAGTGTACTTTAATTTACGCATGTTAGTAATACCCACTATCCTGTGATATTGCTATATTTATCTAGTCTTTTAGCATTATTCAGGTTTCTGTATCCTTATTTGTATCTCATAATTAGTAGGACTTTCTAGAGTATTCATTTCCTAGAACATAAGGAATTGGGTCTTTTTTGGTCATTCTCTTCTTTAAAATATATTGTTAGTCACTTTGCAACACTCTGTTGGACCTATTTCTCCCTGATTATTATGTGTACCCATCAGTGTTTGTCTCTCTTGCCAGTTTCAGGGTATATATGGCTATATCTATGTATGAATCAGGAAAAGATACCATCTCTATAAGCATGTAATTTGTGGCACATGGTGACTAGATGGCTCCTCTATGTGAATTAGAAAGAGGTGCTTCCTATAGATTGATACATTCCCCAGGTTTGGGGCACAGTGTTCTGAAAACAGAGCCCAGGGTGAATTTCATGCTTTGTTCTTGGACACCCTTGAACTATATACACCCTGTACAATCATACGTAGCAGCCATTGGTATGGTACTTGTTTTTCTGAAAGCACATATGGCCTCTTTATTGCTTTTATTATATTCTTTCCTGCTTTTTTCACTGATAAAAATAAGTACACATCTATATTTGCATATACTTTAAATGAGAAAATACCCATGCACATTAAACATTTTCTTACGTAAAATCAACAAAACTTATGTCCTGTAGCATTTGCTCTTTTTTTATTACAAGTATGTTTTTATAAATTTTGGTATCATTATGTACTCATAGCCTTTTACTGACTAAAATAGTTTCAATTAATGATAATGTGTATGATCAAAAGTTATAATTTGGTAGTAAAGACCTCTTGATAGTGATTTTCCATGCTTTTAACACTACTCCTGACATTCTGAAAAGAATTCTTGGTTTGTAACAATGAGATGATTTGTTTAAACGTACCTGAATCTTTTCAGATCTAAAACATGTATCAGGTACCTTCATTACCCCTCCTTTGAGTGGGGACCAGTATCTGGCTACAAGAATGCTTTTCTAAATTAAAGGCAGGCAAATGTACCACTACTACTGTTGTTGGACTATTATTTGTGTGTGTGTGTGTGTGTGTGTGTGTGTGTGTGTGTGTGTGTAAGAGAGAAAGAGCCAAGTATAAACACGCACATGTTAGAAAAGGTATTTTAAGTCATTATATGTACCACTTTTTCCAGTTTAACTTATTATATTCTTATGTACCCTACTTTACTTACAACATGGAGTTTCATCAATCATGACATTTTGGTCTACATTAACACTTGGTATGAGGGGTCTGGGAAACAGTATACCCATAAACATGAGTTTAAGTATTTTTCCAGAATGTGTGCAAAATGCCCCTGACTCTTTAGTTGGAATGCACTAGCCTGTTCTCCAAAGACACATTACCCCAGGGCAGAGACATGGGGTAATGTGTCTTTTAAGCTCAAGAAACATCTTCTGTGGGAATCCCTTCTGAGTCCCATCATCTGGTTTGTTTTCCCTTCCTGTTCTCTGTTAGCTTCGTGTCTAGCACTCATTACACTTTATTTTAATTTTCTCTTAACTTGTCTGTCTTCCTTATAGGCTGTGATATCTTCTTGAGTTGTATTTTACCCATCTGTTACACACTGCTTTGCACGTGAGTGGACGCTCAATACCTAAATACTGAATGTTTTTAAATGACGCTTAAAGAAATAGAATACACAGTCACAACCTAATTTTACTAGCCAATCCCTACGTCTCTGCTGTGTTCTCTGGTGAAGATGAAAGAGAAATTCTGCAATACTAGAGAGCGTTGAAAGCTCAAATATTGCCAGGCTGTCTAGTGTTGGCATAATAAGCTAAATATTTCAGATTCTGGCTGCTGCTTTTCCCAGGCCCCACTGTGAAAGGGATCCATTAATTCCCTACATAGAGGTGAAAAGTAACATTTCTGCAGTTTTAATAGTAGTAGAATAGTAGTAGTGGCTAGCCAAGCCAAGGTACTTGGGAGTAAGCTGTTATAAGCAGAGGTTCTTAAGCAAAGGAACATAGGCAAAAGATAGACAGGGAATGTGGTGAAAATCCCAACAGTTTAGTATTTCTGGCACATGAAATAAGAAGCAAGGAAGCTAAAGCGATAATTACCCTGGAAAGGTAAGCATAGTTGGATTTGGGAAGGCCTTTTATACTGCATTAAGTCATAGGATTTTACACTGTAGTACAGAAACAGAAGAGATTGGTATAGTGGGTAAAATCACATGCTCTACAGCAAGGCTGCCTGGATTTGGCTAGCTTTATGACTTAGTCTTCCTTGTGCCTTATGTTTATTACTCTATAAAGGGAGAATAATAACAGTACTTACTTCATAGGGTTATTTTGAGGATTAATCAGTTAAATCACATGGAAAATTCAGTGAGTATTAACAGTTGATATTTGTATTAACGTTTATGTGGGTGCAGTAGAAAGACCACTCTGGCAGCTTGTACAAAGGACAATTTTGAGTAAATCAGGACCAAAGAGTAAGAAAACCATGAGGAACTTAGTGTGCTCCTTCAATAGCTCCCATTGGCATTTGCTATATACCTTTGTGATACAGTCTTATATAGTGGTTTTAATGAATTTACATATTTTATAGATGGGTTTTTGTGGAGACTGAACTAAATGAAAACTTCCTGTTTATTTATTATTTTTGTTTATTTATTTATTTTTTACAAATTTAGTTGGCATGAACCTACTGGAATGACAAACTCTGGGGCTTTTGAGATCTTACATGGCATGACTAAACTTTGATACTGCTATCTTTAAAATTAGGAACTCATTTCCTGAGAGGGTGAGCTAGAGAATGGGAAGCCAGCTGTTTATCAGAACAAAATTGAAAGTAACATCAAGGTTGGGTTCTAATATGGTTATGAGACTAACAGGGTCCATTTTCTGGTAATTACTATCTTATTCTAAAACTGAGGTTACACATATTGCTGCTTACTTGGTATAGAGTGCTGAGTGTGAACAATAGTCAGTGGGTATCAGGAAGGCTTAAGAGAATCCAGGCTGGGGATCTATCAGTCCTACTTACTTAGGTATGTGGTTCTAAGTATTCTGTAAATGTCAATTCCCATATCTGTGACATGGAGTTAATAATATACACTATGTTATCTTGCAGGGCTGTCAGAAAAATCATTTGAGAACATCTATGTGAATGCACTTGACAGAAATCCAAAGGCACTTCAAAAATGAAGTGATTTTTTTTAACTAATGTTTGTCCTTCCATTAAATTAAACCAACAAGACTAGTTCTCACATAATTCAAAGTTTTTAGGTCCTTCCTGCTTCCAGTGAAAACTCAAGAAACCCACCTGAAACTTTTTCTTACCGAAATACCTTTTTTAGTTAGTGTTTTGAGCTCTTTTTCAGAAAGCTTAGGTTTATCCATGTCTGACTACTGATCAGAGAGGTATCAGTGTCCCTTTTCCCAGAATTTCTAGGCTTATTGGTTAGCTCCCTAAATGAGATATACTCCATTAATCAGTGCCCCAGCAAAAGCTTTGAGAAGTGCTTGAGAGACATATCCTTTTGGAAATCTTATTCCACCCGTCTCACCCTAAAGATGGACCTAAAGCTAAAAGATCGTGACTTCTGGTACAGTCTCCACAGGCAGGTTCCAGGGCTGCTGGACTGGGACATGGAAAATGAGTTGTTCCTGCCTTGCACTACAGACCAGAGCAACTCAGCTGAGGAGAACCTCGTCAGATACAAAATTCGAGTAGTGAAGCCTCCAGTAGTACCTGAGGAGAGGAAATTCAGTCCTGATGAGGATGGTCCTCACATTGAACCCAACCTATGGATGTGGGTGAACCCTAATAGTGTGTGCCCCCTCAACAGCCAGGAGTCTCCAAAACCCAGTAATAACAAGAAGTTGACAAGCATGCTTTCTATCCCTCAGCCAACCACATCTGCTAAAGAGTCTGACTGCTCAGAGGCTCAGGAAGTGGTGGAGGAGTCCCTGCTATTTTCCTCCAGTGAGCAATCCCCCCAGCAAATGCAGTTCACCTCTTCCCCCAGAGAATCTGAGCTCACAGAAGAGAAGGCTGAAGCAGAAAAGGATAATTCTGTGGTCCTCCCCCTCCCTACAAAAAGGGACTACTTCCAGAAGCAGAAACAGCGACAAGCCAACAAACTGGAGAATAAATCCTGGCCACGACCCCCCCTGAACTACAGCCACCTAATTGCCCTAGCATTAAAAAACAGCCCCCCCTGTGGCCTCAATGTGCAACAGATCTACAATTTCACTCAACAACATTTCCCCTTTTACTGGACAGCACCAGAAGGCTGGAAGAATACCATTCGCCACAACCTCTGCTTCCTGGGCAGCTTTGAAAAGGTGCCACTCACCCCTGAGGATGAGGCTGAATTAAAACCTCGCTCTTGCCTCTGGAGGCTCACTGAGGAGGGCCACCGCCGCTTTCAGGAGGACATTCGTGTCTTAGCCTCCGTTTGCAAGGAGAGCATCCAACAGTCCATGAGCCAACCAGATTTAATGGCCTCCCTCTTTCACTTTTGAACAACTGCTCCATGTCTGGAACACTGCCCTCCTTACTGTGCCTACCCTTGCCCTGACTGACCTTAATTAATCCCAAATTCTACCCTGTTTGGTTGGTGCTAAGCCTATCTTTAGCTACTATTAAATAAAGCGAGAGGTGTGTACAGGGGAGGTGGAGTTTAAATCCAGGTGAAGAATCATGGAAAGTTGCATGAGAACAGTGGCAGTTCTACATTTTAAGTAGAGACAGGAAATCCTAATAACAATAGTACAGAATATAAGGAAAGAAGGGAATGGTTTATGAGAAAAAGGAATTCTGTTTACTGGAGCATATTCTTACACATGAAAACAAATGGTAGAATGTAAAGCAAAAATGCAAGGCGAACCCAGGCTATGGGCAACCTTGAGTGCCACATGAAGATACAGATGCCTAAAGAGAACGAGGCTTGAAGGTCAAAGTGTCCCCCTCTATAATTCATCAGCTGTATCTTCTTTTTAAGTGACTTCTTTTACCCTTCAGAGCCTCACTTTTTCTTGCCCTGTACTTCTCAGCCTTGTTCTGTTGATTGCAGTACTGACAAATTATTCCAAGCTGCTACTTTTTGTTTAGATATTGAAAGCATTTGAATTGTTCTTGTATTAACTCCAGGCCTTTTGATGACAAAGCTTTGTTTTTCCTGTTTTCAGTCACCAAACCTTTATTGAGGAAAGGCCAGTATGTCAAGGTTCATCTTAGGTGTTGAGGAAAAAAGCTGACAGATGTTAGTGGGAAATAGGTATTTCTAATGTAAATGTGATGAAACAAAGGTGTGAAGTTGCCACAAAAATAGGGAGATACTCTTCCTCTGAAAATAAGGAAGGCATTTGAAAGGAATGCCTTCTGAGCTACTTTTAAAGAATAAATAGGAATTTGTTGAGCAGATATACTGGAGAATTAACATTACAGAGTCAACAGTGTTATCAAAGTGAATGGAAATGTTTGGGAGAATGATAAGTTAAAGAAGGCTTAGCTACATTAAGGTCAGGAGTGGCTATAAGAAAGGTAGCCAAAAGGCCTTTAGGGCTTTTGGGCTTTAGGGAGCTAAGACACAAGTAGTGTATTGCTAAAAAAAAAATAAAATCTAGACAGCACCACCAATAAATATTTCAGCATATGGTTTTCTAACTTCAAAGTTCTTTCTACACAAATAAACATTTTTCGTTTTCAAGCATTGCCTTTGCCTTCTAGGTTAATATATTATTAAATATCTCTAAAATCTAAAAGATTTTAAGTATCCTTTAGTTACAAAAGCATCAACAATGATAGTAAAAAATATGTCTGTTAAACACAAAAGCATTTATGTAATATAATTGCAGAACAATTCAAGGTTTTTATGCAAAAATGTTTATCAGTTTTAAGCATAGCCTTTTTGTCTTCAAAGTTAGTATATTATTACTATATACTAAAATCTAGAAAATAGATTTTAAGTATCCATTAGTTGACAAAACCTTTAATAATAGAAGTAAAATTCTGTTAAATCAAAAGCAGTTTTTCAATATAATTGTAAAATAATTGAAAGAACGTTTACATTTTAATGGTTATTACAGCTGACATAAAACTTTGTTTAGGTTGATTGCCAAAAGAAGCATATCAACAAAATTCTTTCAAAAATAATTGTACATGCTACTTCTGTATCATTGTTCTATCTACATTGACAGAATTCTTTGGAATTAATAAAGTGGAATTAAATATTCTGGCTATAAGTAGTCAGTATTTGCTTTTCATTTTTTTCAAAATTAAACTTATAAGTAAAAGAGACTGTTTTAAATTAATGAGACTATGTATGTTTTCAATCACAAACTACATTCCTAATACATATATTCTATGGATCTCCAAACAGGAAAAACATTAATTTTCAGAACTAGATCTGCCCTTTTTCTGCACCTGGCACTTTTGAGGTTTGAATCCCTCTGTATGGTTTTCCTCTGCTCCTTCTTTAGTGTTCCTACTTGCATGGGAAATTCAGTGACTTGTCATTCAGACACAGCAATGGTATGAAGTAACAGCAAAGTTTATTAGGAAAAGAATACACTTTTAATGGACTGAAAGCAGCTGTCTCTAGGGAGAGACCTACCTTACCAGCATTTGGAGTTTGAATATTATTGCAATTGTTGGGTGAGAAATTCCAATCTCTGCGTTCAGCCTACAGAGCTGAGGTTACAGGAGAAATTTTTCAGAATTACAATGTACACAAGATTTATGGATCCATTTGACTCCTAGGGTATGGTTTATGGACCTGGGTCTTTGTTTCCTTAAGTTAAAGATCTATTTCTAGAAAACTGTTTGTGTTGACTATCTTAGGCTAAAATAATCTAAGGATTAATATGGGACGTTGCAAGATGTTTTTTGGTCCCCGCCCTCATGAGCTTCGTGGGCTATTTTGATCATAGAGAGGGTGGTCTGGGCACCCGTGGTTCCCATCTACAGATTACAGTCCTAGCCACGTGGAGGACTGAGATCAGGAGGAACAAGTTTTGAGACCAGCAGGGGCAAATAGTTCGTGAGACCCCCATTCCAAACATGACCAGAGCCAAATGGACTGAAGGTGTGGCTCAAGCAGTTGAGCACCTGCTTTGCAAGGATGAAGCCCTGAGTTCAAACCCCAACCCACCCTCCCCGGCCCAAAAAAAGGACTTTTTAAGTGGGGTGCTTGTGGCTCACACCTATAATCCTAGCTACTTGGAAGGCTGAGATCAGGAGGATCACAGTTTAAGGCCAGCCCAGGCAAACAGTTCACGAGACTCCATCTCCAAAATATCAGAGGAAAAAATAGACTGGAGGTATAGCTCAAGCAGTGGAGTGCCTGCTTTGCAAGCATGTAGCCCTGATTCAAATCCCAGTCTAACCAAAAAAAGAGGCTGGTTACCTTTAGGTTGAAAAGTTTAATTACAATGTTTTCTGTCAGAGCCCTTTTGCATTTCTTCCTTGTGTTTACCAGATTGTGTGGTCTAAGGAGGCTCTGGTCAGAAGATTTTAGGTACTTGCATCCCACAAGAGGAGAATTCAGGCAGGATGGGAAAATGTACTGAAAGTGATAATAAAGTTTGTTGAAGGTGAGAGGAAGGAACCCCAGAAGAAAGAGTGGTGGGCCCTGTCCAGGTGGGATAGAAGACCCAATCTTTGTTTTAAAGTGCCTTTATGAACTGAAAGGGCAAATGGTGAGAAAAATCTGGGCAGTCTTTTAGGGATGGGCTGGGGTAATTGGCAGGTTTGATTGACAAGGTCTTCTAAAAAAAACATGGGGCCCTCTGAGCATATATTTATGCCAACTCTCAGGTATTTTAATTGCATGTATGAGGTGCTATCAATATTCATGTTTTAAGCAGAGGGCTTTTACCTAAGAGGTAATCAAAGGTGGAATTCCCTCAAGGCTTTCTGTCTTTGGCAAAACCTGCACAGGGTTTACAATTGAAGGACTCTATAACTGCTAACTAAGATTTTATGACTGAAAAGAAGTTTAGTTTTTTTCTTTATATCAAGAGAAAAGATATTTCTGGTGTGCTAAATAAACCTTTGGAGGTAAATTAGCAGCATGACTAACTTAGCCATTGCTGCTAGTCACCTTCAGACAAGTGAAAAAAAGCTTATAACTGCTAAGGATGGCATTGGGCTGAGAGGAGGAGTTTAACATGAAATGCACTGAGAAAAGTCTCATGGTGCCAGAGTCCCATGTGATTTTTCCTGTCATTTAGCCTGCCTCACTTGCAATGTCTTGCTCCCATTACTACACTTATGTCTATCTCCTAACAAGGAATACCAGTTTTTCAGTCATCTCAGATGATTCAGATCGAGGCTTGGTCTTCCTTTGGGAACAAGTTTTTGCTCCTGCTTTTCCTACTCAGTATTCTCAGTAATACAAAGCCATTGCTGACAGTGTGAAAATCAACTAAAGTTAGGTCTTTTCTGTCAAAAGAGTTAATGTAAAGCTATCATCATGTAGATGCCAACTAACCTCCCGATTGCTGCCTACATGCTTGTGAAAATGTTGCTTGACCTTGCCAAGGTTCTTGTGGTCAGACAAAGAGCTGTTTTCTTAACAGTAAGTTCCTGTTATCAACAGATGTCCTAAATCTCTATTTTCAGGGGACCTTTGAGAAATCACTTTCTCACTGAGCTGTAAAAAATGTACTGCATCAGAAAACCTTGTCCTTACCCAAACATAGCTAGCCAATTGGGAAGATTGTGAACCCAAAACCCATCATCAGGGTGGGGGCAGAGAGATAAAAACTGAGCTGACTCCCCACTCAGTGTTTCTGCCTATCAGACACAGTCTGTGACTGCACCCTTCTGCAGAAGTAAAACTTTTCTTTTGCCTTGCTGAGCGACTTTCAAGTGTTTTCTTTGATCATCATTTGGGAATGGCATGTCTAACAATTTGGTGCCCAATGTGGGGAAAAACTTTGTTGCCACGGGGATCACAGGAACTCCCTTCTCAGAGGAGACGCATCCCACTACTAGTTGCTGAGGCCTCAGAATGGGAAGATCTGCCATCCTGGCCAACAAGGAACCCAAGGTTAAGAGTCACTCAGCAATGCAGGGAAGGGGCCTTTATAAGCAAGCAACATGGTGGCCAGGACAGCTCTGTGCACAGACGAAGGATATTTCCTTTGTGACTAGGACATCCTGGAGGTTGTTTAGGTGTGAGCGGGACTTGTCTCAGACACAAAGCAAGTGCTGACTTTAGAGAAAATGAAAACTCTTTCGGTAAAATGTGAGAAACCTCCAGTACTGGGGAGGTTGAGCTTTTCCCAGGGAAATAGACATAACCAAGGTTAAGGGATGGGTAACAAAAATTCAGTTCCAAAGAGAGTAGATGCATCATCCACCATTCCACTGGCTAGCTCTCTGGGTATGGTTTAAAAAGGTTTTTTTGAGAGTACACTGTAATTTGTGTGAGTGTGTGTCAATTTGTTTAGAGAAATGGGCAAAATTTAACTTGCGCCTGGAATTTTAGCTCATCTTATGAGCACTTAAATTGACT